CAGCCGGCACCTGCGCTTAGGGAGGCCCCGCTGCGCCCCGGGGTGCTGGGCTCCCTGCCCCTCGACCGCCGGAGACTACAGCAACAGTTCCCGGTGCTTCTCCCTGCAGTGGAAAGAGCGAGGATTGATGGAGGTTTATTAGAGGCAGGGGGCTTTCCCTGGTGAAAGAGGCCCCGTCTAGCTGGGAGCTGGACTACCCACGCCGCACGGTCTCTGCCGTGGGCTGGGGGCCTGGTGCTGTGCACCCGTGGCCTGGAGGTGCCTCCCAGCTCTGAACTGACCCCGCAAAACAGCCAGCGGCAGTAAGGTGTATCATCGGAGCTGCAAAAGCTGGAATTTGTCCATGCCCGCTTCACGGCCTTAATGCGATCAGACAGCGGGGCTGTGGAGGGCGTACCATGGTCGTATGGGGACAGAGCTTTCCCAGAGTTCAGGAGACTCGTGGGAGACCAGGAGCCGTGTTTATAGACAGTCCTTTTAGCAGTGACCTAGGAATTTCCATCTCGTCAGTGCCCTGTGGGAACCGCTGCATGATTGCTTTTTCCAGGGCTTTGTCAGCCCAGTTTTACATGATGAAATTTGGCCTTGTTCTCTCCTTCTAAAGCTAGGATTGGTGGTTCCTGAATGAACCCTGCTTCTGAGAGTAGTTCTGCACCAAAGACATGCGTGGATTTTTGTTCTCCCTTTCCTAGAGTTCAGGTTATTAAAAATCTTTGTTCTGCAAGGTGTAGATACAGCTCATAATGTGAAAAACTGGTTGGCACAGGCCTTCGTTCCACAGCCATGTGACCTTGTCAATGTTTGAGTGCTGGCTGTAGTTTTTTCTCCCGTCTGTGTATTCTAAAGACCAAAATTTATTTCACCTTCTCTCCCTATATTCTGTTTATTGTTAGAAAATGAAGACTCAGCCCAAAAGACAGAGTGTGCAGATCAGCTGGTTGATACTTTGGAGTCGGGTACTTCGCAGAGCGGGTAGGAAAATCTTTTTGTGTATTGTGGCCCACATGCATGGCTGTCTGTTTCACCCCTGTGACCTCCTCAGTATGGCAGCTGATTCTGTGCAGGTGAAGAGAAGGAACTGGAGCCTGAATTGTCTGCTTTGGGACAGTATATACCAGAATCAGTATAGGAGGGGCTCTTTTTACAGGCTTGAGGTTGTTTTAAAGCTTATGAAATGCAGTTCATGGCTCAGCTATTCAAATCACAGAATCATTCAGCTTGGAAGGAACCCTGCGAGGTTTTGTAGTCCATTGTAAGAGCTAATAAACT